AAAGAGAATGAGAGTGAAAGAAAGAGAGAATCGAGCTTGCTCGTATAAGAATCTAAAAAGACGAAGACGAAGAAGAAGAAGAAGAAGGAGACGAAACGACTCCCCTGGGTGTTTCCCAATCAGCCAGACTCCAGAAACTCAACCGTGAGCAACACCAACCACTATCCTCTAAAATGCCTTCCTCTCTTTCTTTCTATTTCGCGTATTTTCTACGTTTGCAGTTCTCTAGGAGGGTGCCCAACCCGCTAATGCGCGCACACAAAGAGGAAAAAATAAGATAGAAAGAGAGGAGAAGAAAGGGACACGTGTATACGCTATTAACAGTTTATATATAGAAAGAGACACATTTATATGTTGGTTGTATATATGTACATCTATACATATATTGCAAGAAACAGTATCTACCTACATAGATACCTTCCTAAACTCGCATACTAACGTGCTTTGCCATCTCGGACTCCATTAGTAATCTTTATGCGATCTGTTAACGCTTCGTACTAAGGCGAAAGGTCCTTCGAGGCTTTTTCTATCTTCAACGTCCGTCGTTTACACTTCCGAACGATCCTATCTCTTCCAAGTTTACCTTCGTGCTCGATATAAACGCGAAATGTTTCCTTTCGTCCTACTCTCCGCGTTTCGTCTTTCTCCTCGTTATTGTCTTCGGCCATTTTTAAAATAGTTCCGATTATTAGAAAAGACAAATGCCATTTCCTTTCTCTCTCTCTCTCTCTTAATGTTTCTATCTAATTAAACTATTAACCTGTCCGTCAACTTTTAAAAATAGGTCTGAACTTTTCAGGCAAATTACAGTATTATTTTTAAAACTATCAATATCCTCATTAAATTTTTCCCAACGAATAATTATGACTCGATGTTTTATTTCAAAATATCATTTACAATTTTATAAAGAGATTGTTAGTTAACGTATTATATATATTTTCCTTTTCTGTTAGAGGTAAGGAAAATGACACCTATCGTATCGAGTGGTTAATCGAAGATCGAAGATATCCCCTCGGATTAAATCATAGTAGATCGTTGATCGTTCAGGTAACAAAGCGTTGTTCGATGAAAGCTTTACTTTGACAATCGCACGGTGAGAATCAGTGAGAAACGAAGAGAGACAGAGAGAGAGAGAGAGAGAGAGAGGGAGAGAGAGAGAGTAATGCGAGTTACAAACTCACCTTCCATGGTTGTTGTAACACTGAAAAGTTTTGTCCTCGTGCTTTGTCACGCTAGCAACCTTTGTGTTTAAACGAAGTTCTTCGTATCGAATTCATTCGAATACCATTACTCTTTTAAATGCGCCATTGGAAACACTTCTAATTCGGTCGAAACTGTGACTTCCTAACGTTCCTAACGTAATTAACATTAACAATGAATCTTAGATTTTCAGACAAAAAATAATATAAGTATATTAAAACATCTTGAAACATAATTTTAATATTATAAAAATTGTTAAAGCAGACTTTCTGCATGTATATAAATTTCTAAATGTTAGTATATACATATACACAAATAAAATATCTTAGTTAACGAATATTATATAGTATATACCGTAATTGTAAAAAAAAGACTCTCTCTCTCTCTCTTTCTTCGAGAAGAAAAGAAAAACATTATATTATACATATGCAACTCTAACAAATATATAAATGATCTCATTTAATTTTTCGTTTAATGAGGGGGGAAAGAAAAAATATGGATAGCTTTAGTTGAATAATTTTTCGGTCAGATAATCCCGAATAATTTTATCCACTGTAATCTTGAACGAACTTGGACTTTGAATGAGAGAAGGTATCCCCTGTATCTATCTCGCGTGCGTTGGGATTTCCAAATATTACAAATAGCCTCCCTTATCCATGCGTACGTATGCGTGTACATATATATATATACATATATATACGTACAAATGTATATATGTATTTCATTGGAATCTGCCATTCATTTGAAAGGTAGTTAGACAGAAACAGAGAGACGTGCCGTAGCCGTCACCGTCACCGCCACCGCCGCAGGCGCCTAATGCGTCCGTGTAATTTTCCTGAGTCTGCCATACAATTTGGTGAAATCTAATCTAATATCGTACACGTCTGTAATACCGAGGGTATATGAGGTCAATTGCGCGGCAATAGCTCGCTCTCGTGTACAACAACGCTTGTCAACCTTCTCGTGTTTGCGGATCCGTAAGTAATACCAGAGTGAATGAGAAAGAGAGAGAGAGAGAGAGAACTATGTGTGTGTGTGTGAACATATATGTACGTATGTATGTATGTATGGCAGGCAGCCTAAAGAGGGGGATCAGGACTCGTGCATCGAATGTTGCGGACGTGGCTTGAGGGACACAGTCAACACGAAGTTTGCGATCGTTTCTCCGATCCCGCAATCCTATTCCTCTTCCTCTCCCTTCTCCTCATTTATATATATATATAGATATATATATGTGTGTATATATATATATATATCTTCCTTGCACACAAGTTGTTCGTTCATTCGAACGAACCTATCGATCCCTCCAATCGCCTAATTGTCCTTCGCTTCGTTACTCTCCACGTCAGAGGATCTCTAACAACAGGAAACGTTTCACTCTGATATCGTCTCTTGATCGTCATCCTGATCAGCCAATCCTGACGTCCTTCGATTTCTACGATCTTTTTCTTCTTCTTCTTCTTTCTCTTCTTGTTTTTCTTCTTTTTCGTAAGAGAAACGTTATTTGCCTTGGTTGGTGACCGTCACACGATACACGATATCTCTTTCTTTTCCTTTATATATTGTCTCTTGTCTTTCGTAAATGGTAGTAGAGTTAATAGTTTCGTCTCGATAAACCGAATTCAGATATTAGTTTGCGATATCGCGTATTTCCTTTCGAAATCAAACGTCATATCGTTAATGTCGAATTGGAATTGAAAAAGAAAAATAACGTTGATGATTGTAATACGGTCGAATGAAAAAATTCATCCTGTTTCGAAAATAAGTTCTTTCTCACATGCACACACACACACACACACACAAACATAGATACATTTATTCAAGGAAAAACTTATCGGCATTCTCGAAGATGTATTCGAAAACGATTTGTGACCGTTGCGAAAGAGAAAAATTAAGAAAAAAAGAAAGAATGGACGTGGAGTGAGGAAGGTGTAGGAGAGAACCACCTACCAGTTCCTAATAAAGTATTTATCCGTACTTCGGGAAGAAGGAAAAGGGAGGAAAAGGTAGGAGGAAAAGGGAACTCGCAAGAGAGGCAGCCGAGCTGTAGAATGAACGGTGGTGTTACTTTTCGCGAAAGGGGAATTGAAAGAGGATAGAATGTGTGCATGTATAGAAGTACGTAGGTGTTACGCCGGGAGTTTCAGTTTCCGGGTGATCTGTGGCTCCCTCGTCGTGAGAATCGATGCCGCCAGGCTCCCAATAACCATACATCCTACGACTATCACACCCCTGGGGTACCTACTATACCTACCCCCCAATCCTATTCGTTTCTCTTTCTCTCTCTTTCTCTATTCCTATCTCACGTTCGACTACTTCTCTTGCTTTCTCTCTTTCTCTCTTTTCCTCTCTCTCTCTCCTTCAACTTCCTTATTACAAATAGCCAAGCTATTGTACATAGGTGTAAAGCTTAAAGGTAAACTTTGCTGTTACGTAGAAAAATAGATCGTTCGAAGAAGAACGTGCTCGAACGACTACTACCAAAGATTAAAGCCTAGTCTCGCAAATCTTAGTAATGTTTTACAAACTCCGTCTCGATGATATTATCTCCACTAAGAAAATATGTTCCACACGAATTGACCAGTTTGATCGCGCCAAAACATACACACACAAAGGATCAGATTTATCGGTTCTCATTTTTGTCGAATTACTCTACTAGTTTTATTTTGGCTTCCTCTAGTAACGCGTTAAAGGAAAGAAAGTTGATGAAGTTTAGGTTAGTATTTCCTCGGACGTTAACTACGAAATCATAAATTTTTACCGTTGGAAATATCGTAGAAATGGCGATACGCGAAAATGAGCTGCCGAATGAGCCGTGTGCCGGAAATTAGTGTATGTAGTTATAATACTTGAATTACTTATTTTACGTTACGTTACTTACGTACGGTTGTTCCTCCAGGACCGATATCGATTAAACCCGTTCCAAGAGTGCATAAAATTATATTAAAACAAAATTATCGAATTCTTTGAAAGAATTTATCGCGTTCTAGTTCGAAAATGTATTCTCGTCTTGGAGACATTAATACCTCGAGAATCGTTAAAGGATCCTGTTTCGTAGAACGAAACTCCGTAAAACGAGCACTTAGAGCGAGAACATTGCGCAGTTCGCCTAAGCACGTCGTATTATCGTTTTAAAATACGTACGAGTACTTTAGCCGCCGTAATTATAACCAACCGAACGTAATTTTTCCCAAAATATTTTTCCTCCTTCCTTTTTTTTTTTCTTTTATCGTAATTGCAATATACACCCACGTATTATTCTTTATCAATTTTTTGTTATTTAAATGTCGCATGAGAAAATATGATGTACACCAACCGGCAATGCAATCGTGACAATGGATAAGGTCGCAAAATTTATCTTTTAACGAAAGAACCGGGTTCTCCGAGAGAATAATGAAATAATATAATAAAAAATTGTGATACTCTCGTGACGATAATTTTGTTTACTTACCTACTGACGACGTACCGTCACCGTTCATTTTTTGATATTGAGTTTCCCCACCGCATTATATATATATATATACATACACCGCGAGACAAGAAATTTTATATGCATATCGACGAGAGAGATCGCACGCTCGTGTTACGACCGAACGATACCGTTTCTGCACGCATGCTATATGCATGCATGCATGCATGCACGCACGTACGCACGCACTGTGTTTCTTTTTAACGAAATTTAAGAGATTACGGAAGAGACGATGAGATAATATAAGCGTATATGTAGATTTCACTTTAAAAATAACTTCGCGATAGTATGGAAGAATAAAAAAAATAAAGAGACAAATAGACAATAGGGGATGAATCTCGAAAATCCTCAAAAAGAGATGATTGCGGAAAAAGGTGATTTAAATGGACAAACTTACGCTACTGTGTGTTATCCTTTATTCCTCTTTCCCCCTTTTTCTTTTTTTTTTTTCTTTTTTTTTTATCTCTTCTCAATGTCATTGCGAGTTGTTACAGCGATATGAAGAGAGATAGAGATAGAAAATGAGAAAGAGAAAAAGAAAAAGAGAGAGAGAGAGAGATGGAAAGAAAAAGAAAGAGAAGAAAATATAGTATACAAAAGCGTAGTGCTTTGGGTCGAGGCGAAATGCGATATCGGTGTCAAATAAATGGAGTTTAATTCGCGCTTACGGAACGATATCTCCGCGCTTCTCACCCTTCTTTTCCGCACCGTTAACGGTACTCTCGTTCTCTCTCTCTCTCTCTCTCTCTTTCTCTTTCTGCTAGGTGGTTGGTAGTAGAGAGGACGCTGTGTTTCTCGTTCGAAGGGACGGTCAGACCCGCTGGCTATGTAGACACTCCGTACGGCAGTATTTATGGAAATGAACCGAGGTAGTTTGAACCCTCTTTCGTTTTCTCTCCTTCTTTACCACCCATCCTATCTCTCACTCTCTTGTTCTTTTTCTCACACACACACACACACACTTTCTCTCTATCCTTTACATTTCTCTTGTACTCCTCCAGTGAAACTGCACTCGCGTTAGGTTGTTGCATCTATCCTATTCTCTCTTGTACAATACGTACGCATGATTTCAAGCAATCTTCGAATTTCTCTGTCTTTCTGTTTCTATTTCCACTTCTATCCCTCTCTCTCTCTCTCTCTCTCTCTCTATCTATCTATCTATCTTTTACTATCTATCTTTCCCTCTTCCACCGTGTCTTTCTCATTCCGTTTTCTCTCCGTACGCGGAAATCCGCACACAGCTGCCGCGTCGAACGATGCTGCTACCCACCACCACCCTCTCACCACTGTTTGCCCGTCTAATTACCTGGAATTCGTAAGTTACGAGTATCCGACACGCCCACATTACCCACACCCCACTCATTACTTTTATTCTTATAATAATTTTCGAACGAGAAAGAACCTACGACCGTACCACCACCACCACCGCGCGTTATACTACTATCTTTTTTCTTTTTTTTTTTTTTCTTTTTTTCTTTCTCTCTCTCTTTCTACCTTGCTTTTTTTCACCCTTTCGTTCAATTCTTCTTTTTTCTTCTTTCTTTTTTTTTTCCCCACCTCTTTTTATCGCACCAGTTCTACCCAGTTTATTTTCGTTCACCTATCTACCTCCTCTCTTCCGGAAACACGCCCTTCTTCTTCTTCTTCTTCTTCTTCTCCTTTTTTTTCTCTCTCTCTCTATCTTTTTTTTTCTTTTTTCTATATCTTCCCTCCTCGTTATTTCGTGTTCTTTTTCCGGTTGCTCGTCGTTACGGATGATACTTTCCCCAGTGCTATAAGGTTATTCGATTTGCTCGGATTTCGTGCTAATTGAGCCATGTTTCCTGGAGCTCGCTTAAAACGTCTCTTTTGATGAAATAGCGAGACGTGCTAATGGAAGAAGAGGAGGAGGAGTAGGAGGAGTAGGAGGAGGAGGGTAAAAGAAAATTAAGATAAAATTCATTATTTATTTAGAAATATTTATCTAACGAATAATTCGATATACCTATATTTTTAGTAATTGCATCGTTTCTTTTCTTTTCTCTTTCTCTCTCTCTCTCTCTCTCTCTCTCTCTCTCTCTTCCTCTCTGTTTTAATGTCTTTGCTCGATAAACAATATAATAAACGTAACAGTTAATGATCGAAATAATATCAAGTAAGTTTAATTGATTTCCTCAAGAGACTCGTTAGTGTTAAATATTCGTCGTAGTTGTCGTTTTAGTTGTAATAGTTTATTTAGAAGATCGAGAATACCAAATAGAAGATGCAAAATAATCCTCAGTTGGTCTAACGCGAATTCGAGACAAGGTAAACACACCACCTAAGATATATACTCGAGTGTTCGACAAACGATTTACAGGATATACATACTCCATGCTCGGTAATTCCTTCCCTTACTATCGTCTGAGAAGGAAGACGAGAGAAGAGAGGAATCTCGTTAGGTTGAGATAAATTAGTGACGTGAGAGTTAATGCCATAGTCATGCTGATATTTGAAGAACAATCGTGGAAAACATTATCGATTACTAATCGCTAAATCTTCATCCCTTTGCAAATTATATAACTTTATAAGTTAATACCTAGTCCTTTTTTTTTCTCGTTTTCAATTATGATAAAAATATATTTGCTTTTCTCTAGGTGTAACTCTTTTTATGGGATATCGATTATATAAAAATGAGATGAAAGAAAATATATTTGTTTAAGGATACTAAACAAATCTAAATCACGTAATACTATTTTTTTTCATTTGTAAAGTAATAATAATAATAAAATTATTTCTTATCGCTATTCTCTAAACCGAAAACGAAATAAAAACGACAAGTAGAAAGGAAAATATTCTACAAAGATAATTCAAAAATCTTAATTCGATAATAATTTTGTTCGAATTCATATATTTGTAAGATCAAAAAAACAGGACAGAAAATATTATAAACAATCTCTTGTTCGCTTCCTTTATAATATATAAAAAGTACGATTTAATTTTGCTAAAATAAAAGAAAAGAAAACTGTAGTTGTGAAGAAGATACGTATACAAAAGAATTGGATTTGAACGAAAAGAAGGATAATAGATTAAGATTAAGAAAAACATGAAAGAAAGAAAGAAAGAAAGAATGATAGAGAAAAAAGATCTTAATAGGAGATACTTTGATAATTAAAGTAGTCCATGAGAAAAGAAGAAGAAGGAAAAGAAGAAGAAGAAGAAGAAGAAGATCAGGGTTAGACCGCCTTGAGCCAGTCTTCTTCTCTCGCAGAGTTGACATCCGCGAATTCTACTTGCAACCTGTTGCTCTCTCTCTCTCTCTTCCTCTAGTTCTCGTTCCATCTCTAACAGCCCTCTCCCTTTCACCCTTCATCCATCTCCTTCTTCTCCCTTTTCTCCTCCTCCTCTTACTTTCTCGCTTACCAATTTCTCTCTCTCTCTCTCTCTCTCTCTCTATCTTTCTTTTTCTTTCTTTCTTCCGTCTCTAAGCATCGCCAGGGTCCGCGCCTAAGTGCATTCCGCGCTTTAGAATCCTCCCTTCGTAACATATGCATCCGTAATCGCCGCGGGCCGCACTCACGCGCAAAAGTACTGCACCTAGACTCGTTTTCCAACGCTTGAAACGTACTTACTTGCCGGAAAGTGCAATCGAATGAACGATGCTACTACTTCTTTTTCTTTTTCTTTTTTCTTTTTTTTTACCTATATATATATATTTCTCTCTGTCTAACCTTCTCTCATTTTCATTCCTTCAAGCGCTTAGACCCTTCAAACGATAATCGTAGAAAATGTTAGTTTATTCTATTTATTTTTGTTGATTTAACGCGTTAAATTTCTTCAACAATCGCACGATTAAAAGTGTTTCTTTTTTGTTTTTTATAAATGTTATATCAATTCAATTACTTGTTTCTCTCGTCTCCAAAAATAAAATTATTAATAAGTAGGTATCGTAGGGAATTTGGACATTCAAAAGAACTAGAACTTCGTTTTGATTAATTGGACGTTTCGTCCCTTTATTGGGACTTCTTTAGCAAATTAATCTCTAAAGTTCAGCATCTTTTTTATTTAAGAAGACATATATTTTTGTAATATTCAAAACACTATACATCTAAACTTCGTTTTCTCTTGATCCGATATCAATTTTTCTGTTAATTGTTCTTTTTATAAATAGATAATACGAAAAAATTAATTTATTAGGAAATAATAAATTGATATTTAATAATAAATTCGACGTTATATTCGATGCGTTATATATTCTATCGGGAAATAAATAAATAAATAAATAAAGATATTATAAAGAAATAAAGAAAGAAAGATATATCGTATATATATATATATATATACATATATTATCGTACATTTTCATCGGCAATAAATTTTTCCAGCCTTGATTCCCCGTTCGTAGTTGCTGTGCTGTATTTCCTCACGGGTGGTCTCTCTTCCTACTTGCGTCACAATCGATCGCGCTATAAACGCGCATCCATCGTCTTAGTCTTTATCTCGATAGAAAGATAGTCCAAGTAAAAGAGTAACAGAGATAGAGAGAGAATGAGAGAGAAAGAGAAAGAGAAAGAGAAAAGGAGAAAGAGAATTCACAGGTCAGACAGTTACACGACTTACGTGTGCGTCTCGAACGAAAGGAGAGAAATTTACATGTTACTGCGAAATGGTTGCGTGTAATGGCGCTATACGTTAAAGTTAACGTCGACGGCCGAGGTTGACATCGTCGTCTCGTAAATGGAAATGGCTCGTTCCTCTGTCGCGTTGCATAAACCGATTTACCATTCATCGAGAGAAGAAACATTCCTCTTTCTCTCTCTCTTTCTCTCTCTCTGTCTGTCTCTCTCTTTCTATCCATTTTTAAAAGCGAATAATATCGAATCGTCATAGTGAGAAAAACCTATCGTTATACCGCAATGCGTTTTCCTCGAATTCTAAACGTTCCTTCATTTTCTTTTTTTTCTCCCCTTCGTATGTGTTTTTTTTTTTGTTAATTTTGATCGATCGTAGGATATATGTAATACGCGCACGTCTAAGGTAATAATTTAGTTTAGCAATTGCGATCGAATTTTGTAAAAAAACAGAAAAAAAAAGGAATGTTTAATACTTCATTTACGCGTTAACTGTGTGCATAATATAAATTTGTATAGACCAGTCGTTTAAATATGATGATAAATAAAGACACGATGATACGACTTAATATATATATGTGTGTACTTCCTTTCAATAATCGTCGGATTGATTTATTATCGCGTTGTAAAGGACAACCGGTGCCACCTACAAAAAGCAAACCGGCCGTGTATAGGAGCTTGTCTTTCGTAATCTCTTACGAGGAACATCTGCGTGGATTCTCTCGAGGTGCCTACGAAACGGAGACATTTTAAGCTCGCGGGAACTCGTCTTTCTCTTTGGCTCCCCTTCAAGGAATTTCTTCTCTACGTTCTG